CAAAAAGTAAGTCATGTAGTACCTCATTAATGTGTCTCATAAAAATCCTAGGGGCCCCAGATATCCCAAAAGGGAGGACGAGGTACTCAAATGCCCCCAAGGGGCAATTAAAAGCAGTCTTGTATTCATCTCCCTCTTTGATGCGAACCCGGTGGTAAGCGTCCCTTAAGTTCAGCTTTGTAAATATTTTGCCCGTGACCAGTCTTCCCAGCATGTTTTTCATTAGGGGCAAAGGGTATTTATTGGTACTACAAATCCCATTTAAATTGCGATAGTCCATGACCAGGTGAAGAGAACCATCTTTTTTTGCCCTAAAAAACACAGGGGCTGCAAAGGTCGAAGTGGATGGCCTGATGAACCCCCTGGCCAAGTTCTTTTCAATGTATTCCTTTAAGGTGGCCAGTTCTTTTGGGGTCATAGAGTAGAGCTTAGGTTTGGGCAGCGGTGCTCCCGGTAATATTTCAATGGCACAATCTGTCTCCCTGTGCGGAGGCAGCACATCGCAGTCTTGGGCTTCAAAAACCCCTTGCAAGTCTTGGTAGCACGGGGGAAAGGACTGCGTTTCCTCCCCAGCACCTGCTCCTTTACTGCCCTCATCCTGTTGTCCATTTTCTAAATGAGCAGCCACTTCCTTTGGAGCTGGTCCTGGAAGTGCCACCGTGGGGAGGAGAGGGGGGAGCACCACACCCTGGTCAAGACAGTGTTCTCTGCAAATCGGGGGGGGGGGTGTGTGGTCAGTCATCCTTAAAGGACTCATCTTTTAGAGACCATTCCATTTTGTCAATATCCTTCTGAAACGGTGATATCCATAATTGTATGAAGTCCTTATCCTGCCCTTATCCTGTTGTAATGTGTATTTTGCCTTTTCTACTTTTAAAAACTTGTGAATAAGAACCAAGTCCTCTGTAGGTTTCTCCAAAATGCATGCAGCTTAATAAAAGCTATGCCAAAGTTTCTTCAGACTTTTCTGTGATGGAAAGGACAGGTTATTAGATATCTGATTTTCATCCAGACTGAATCTCTTGAGAAGAGAGATCAAATGCATTTTCTATCACTTGAATATAAATACTTTAAAAAGTAAGGATTTTTCTATGCTAGGTATTTGGAAGGGAAAGAGGGAGGAGGGAAACCTCCTGAAACTTGTACATTTGAACATAATGGTATAGATGAGTCCAGGCTCCCAATCCTCAGCACACACACCCAATGCACACATCCTCTCATTCCTTTGCTCCGGGCTCTGTTCTTTGCCTTACAGCAGCTTCTGCTGGTAGTACTGCTTCAATGTACAAGATGATTTTACATACTACAGGAATACCAGAGCAGCAGAAGCTACCTGTAGGATAATGGAGGAGAAGACCCCCCCTCCCAACTGGCCTCTTGCACACCTCCTAAGAGCTCCTTCTAAGATCTCCTAAGTCCTAAGATCTTCAGCATAGCCCTAAAGCTCCTATAAGCCAGTACAATCTATACACAATTAGAAGGAGTATTTCTTCAGAAGCTGCCTCAGGTTTTGTTTAGAGAATGAAATCAGGGAGGTGAATCTTCCTAAGAAACAAACAAGATTCCTTGCCCTTGCATTTCAGTGATTCAGGTCAGTGATATGTAGTGATAATTCTCAGTTTAATTGAAATTTTAGAGGAGTTTGGTGATAAACTTTAACAAAATGGCTACATCCTATCTGACAGTGGAGATGTGGTCTAGAATGCTGTGGAAGCACAATGCTAGGGTAAAAATAGATTCACAAGCAGTTTTACACAAGTGTTGCACAACTGTGACTCTAGTGTAGCCAATCTTTCACAGAAAAATAATTTCTCTCACCCTTGACTTGTTTTTTGGGGGAAGCATCAGACCATTGGCTGAATTGAAGCAAAGTGCTTTGCACATATAGAGTAATCTGTTGTGCATCATATGAAGCCTTACATTTTCTGGCATATATTTATGCAATGCTAAAAATATGTATGATCTTGGCCATGTTTTCTTTACTTCATTTTCTGCCTTCCAAGCCAATGGTCTCTGTCACTAAGCTCTGAGCCCTCTCCTGTCGGATTGTAGAGGAAGAGGATTCAGTTCATGCATATCTTTATATATACGTATCTTGCTTTTTCTCAAACCAGGAGTCAAGGTGGCTTATAAAGTAAAACAAATTCAATATACAAATGAATAGTTGACATTGTAATAGAACTACAACACTTATACTTTAATTCTATTTTAAAATAACATTTAAAATAGTACAACACTACAAAAAAGATAATGGGTGGTCAATGTACATTAGACATTAAAGAAAATCATGACTTTTCAAATAATATATTTCCAAGCCTTTAACAGAAATAAATTTCACTTCATTTTTTCTCAGAATTCAGCCCATGTATACTTTCCAGCAGCAAACATGGAT